AAGTATTACTGAATTACTATCTTACTATTGCATTAACGCTTTAAATAATTACTAAATTACCATTTTATTACTCTGTTGTCAATTTACATAATCACTAAATTACTGTTTCACTATTGGATTACCATTTCAAATAATTACTAAATTAATAGTTCATCGTTGAATTTCCTTTTGCTATTTCATTATTGAATCATCAACTAACGTAAGAACTATTTTACTATTGAAGTACATAACATCTCAAAAGTTAATTTGCTGCTTTTATTGCAATACTATCGCACTTTAAATGCAAAGTTGCAAGCTTAATGAGCAATATTGCCACTTGTTAAAATTTTCCAAATTCGAACAGTTCTAACGAATTAAAAAATTCCTTTTAGACTTTTGCGCGAAGCTAACATTATAGTGGGAAATTTCCCCTTTAGAATGGTGTTCCGAAAGTTGAACCGCGATTTTTTCTCGCCGTGTTGTCGCACCTCGAATGAAAAGTATACCATCCAGATCGCTAAGTAGATAAGTAGATAAGTCGTTAAGTAGTTCTAAAATATTGAACAGTCTTACGTCGCTGACGAAATCGCGTAGTTCATGAATCCAGTTTCACAAGAAAGGGATGCTAAATTGAAAAGAAAAGATCAACGTGTTCCAGAAAAATTGTTCCACGAACAACAATTAATTAGAAAATATGAAAACACAAAATGCGATAAAATTTAATTATCACTTCTTATCTCAGTTGTTTTATGCTAATTTAATTGAAAAATTTGTTTTCCACCGAGATCTACAGTTCTGTGGCCATCGATCGTTAGAGAATATTTTTTATTGAATAATTTTTTTCAATTTATCCAAGAAAAATTTATTTTGTTCTGAGATCTAGTTCTGTGACCATCGATGCATTTTTAAGAAACCTTTTTCAAGAAACCTTCCCCCCCTCCATAATATTTCTGGTATTGTGATGGCACCGATACCACGACGAAAATACAGTAATTACTCCCGTGAATGCCAAATTTCGGGTTGCTGTGAATTTCTCTGTGCTAGTTCTACGCTTATGTAATTTATTGCTACGTCGATGAAAAGGCTACCTGAACATGTCACGGCTGTGTGCCCACACCTCTTGCAGTGGCATCGTCTTAATCGAGTACGTCTTTCTGGCCTTTTATTAACAACTTTAACATTAAATATCTCAGAAACTATAAGCCACCATCTGCCCTATCTGCCCCTATCTGCTCCCAAAACCGGACATCAGGGGATTCAACTTTACAAGCTCTATCACCTTACCAAATCTCATCAAAGAGTGAGATCCTCCCTAGGGACATCGTCTTGTTAAGTTCCTCGAAGTCCTGCGTAGTTGAAAGGGAGTGCGCGAATGAAAGAGAAAAAAAGAGAGAGAGAGAATGAGTAAGAGTGAGATAGAATGAGATAGTATGAGCAAAGAGACTGAGAGAGAGAGAGAGAGAGAATGAGATAGTATGAGCAAAGAGACTGAGAGAGAGAGAGAGAGAGAGAATGAGATAGTATGAGCAAAGAGACTGAGAGAGAGAGAAAGAATGAGATAGTATGAGCAAAGAGACTGAGAGAGAGAGAGAGATAATGAGATAGTGTGAGCAAAGAGACTGAGAGAGAGAGAGAGAGAGAGAGAGAGAGAGATAATGAGATACTATGAGCAAAGAGACTGAGAGAGAGAGAGAGAGAGAGAGAGAGAGAATGAGATAGTATGAGCAAAGAGACTGAGAGAGAGAGAGAATGAGATAGTATTAGCAAAGAGACTGAGAGAGAGAGAGAGAATGAGATAGTATGAGCAAAGAGACTGAGAGAGAGAGAGAGAGAATGAGATAGTATGAGCAAAGAGACTGAGAGAGAGAAAGAGAGAGAGAGAGTGAAGTGCTAAGAAAATGCAATGAACAAAAAGAAAGAAAGAAGAAGAAGATTTGAAGAGCGGATATTTGAACAAAAAGGTCGTGGCATTCAGAAATGAGACGTGTCGTGAGCGAGTCAAGTCGTACATCGTTGTAATGAAGAGAAGTTGTAACGTTGTTGAGACTCGATATGTTGTTTTTGTTAATACACTGTTATTCTTATTATTATTGTTATTTAAGTTATGGCTTGTTCATCTTTACCAGAGTGAACTGTAGGATTTTAGATTTTAAAGGAAGCATGCGTTTGCCTAGTTAGCTATCGGCGCTAGTGCAAGCATTAATAAAACATCGCGTCACTGAAAAATCATGGCACACCCATTCCGAGTTTGATATCGTAAAACGAGTTATCTCGTCCAACGGGGAAGAGATAAGACCCTGGTATAAGAGGCATTTTTGTTTGTTTTCTGCAGATGTTACGCGAACTCGGGGCCGCAGGAATAATGCTCCAATATTTGTCGTTTAATTTGAAATATGTGTCTTAACAATCATTCGAAGGCAAGAGAGTAGTTTAGTAAATATTGTTCTTGCAATATATCCATTGTAGACGTACAATGTTGAATATTGCAAGGAAATATTTGAACAACGTTATACTAATTTTCCAAGTAATATTCTTATAAATAAGCTTAAACAATATTTTATTATTTTCTAAAATACCGTTTCGATATTAAGCACCGTAGTTTGCTTTCGCAATGCGATAGAAGTGCGACGAAAAATAGTTCAGCAAGTTTTGTCACGTCATTGAAAAAGAGAAACTTTCCTTTATATTGTCGTATAGACGCAAAAGTGTAAAAAAAATTTTAATTCGGTAGAACTGTTCGAATTCGGAAAACATTTAATACATAGCAATGTTATTCACGTTGCTTACAACTTTGCATTCAAATTGCAATAGAACCGCGACGAAACATTGAAAATAATCTTTCGTGTTAATATATTGAGGGGGAAACTTTTCTCTATAATTACAAAATAATCTTGAAAAACAATTTTCGAAGTCCGCAGAACCATTTGAACTTGTAAAACGTTAGAAAATGGAAATATTATTCACCTTACTCGCAATTTTGCGTTCAAAGTGCAATAAAACTGCGGCGACACATCGTAAATTAATTTTTAAAACGACATTTTATAGGTGAAACTTCCCTGAATACCGTCGCATTAAATTAAAGGTCGTTAAGAATTTTTAAACTCCGTAAAATCATTTCAACTTCTAAAGCGAAAAATAGCAATTTTATTCATTTTGTTTGCCACATTGCATTCAAAGTGCGATACAACGGCAACAAAAAATCGCAGTTCAACTTTCAAGACGTCATTCTTGATAGAAGCGTTTACTCGGCGAGGTGTTTAATATTTGGTTTCACCAGGGCCCGGCATTTCCAACAGTTAATGTGTCCAAAGACAGACGATCATTTTACAGTTTCGAAACGATAAGCGGACAATCTCCGATAGCCTTTCACAAGAACGCCAGTTTACAGTTGGGATCGAACGACGACAGTTGAGAAAATCCGATCTTAATCGTCGAAACGTCCGTCTACTTCAAGTAAGCTACAATTAATCCGTAATTAAACGGCGAAACTTCATAATGTATTTAATTTTCCGAAATTTATTTATAGAGAAAAAAGGGATTGGAAATATTTTATTTTAATAAATATTCTTGTTTGGGAATGATGTGTTGACATTTGTTCAGGATTGAAAAGAAACTACTACATGTTCGAGTTTGTTGCAAATTTTATATTTATATAATGTGTGGACGATTTGGATGTGTGGATACTTATAAAATATACTAAAATTTGTTAGAATTTGTTTAGTTGGCTTAAATTCCCCTTTATTCATCAGAGCTATGAACAACTTTACCATAAACCGAAATCAAAATAGCGAATGAATTGTGACTAAAACACAGTTTTCAGTGCAAAAATACGTAAACAGAAACTATAACCGTAAAATTGTACAAAAGTCTGATACTCAGGGGCCTATAATTCATAAAAAAAGTATGAAAATAATCAAAGTGATGACGTCTCCCGATCCCTAATTACGTGCATGCTATAGTAAAAAAAGAATCAGATATTCAAAGAACCAATTTAAATATGCAAAGTAATTATTACTAGACCTCTACTCATCGCACCTATTTTGCAATGACAATGTTACGTGGTATGATGAACAAAATCCCTAAAGATATTATTATATTTATTATAACTGAGATCATTTCTTCTATCCAGAAAGGTGCCAAGTGATTGGAAAGAGAATCTGTAATGGCGGAAAAGCAGGAGATAACTGAAAAAATTGTAAAGAAGCCTCCACGCATAACAATGAGAAGCATCATCGGTGCGCCCTACAGAGATGATGTGAAATATGTAGACGGTGTCCCGCACAGAAAGGACAGGGCTGGAAACTGGCGGCCGGTGATTAGTATAGACGTAAATGACACTTAATTCTACAACTGATACCTAGTCTTCATTTTACTGTTCTACGGAGCGATTCGGTCGTTAGTGATTACGTTTGATGAGGGAAATAGTTTATTCATGTATAAATTGTGACCGAATAAATGCTTCATAGATTATTCGATGGTGTTATCGTCTTCATCAGAACCTGATAGAATGCTTCACGATGGAATTAATTTGTTCGACATAATTTCATATTGTTTTTAGAAATGTTATTATGAAAATAATTATAAAGCTACATTTGATTGTTGGGAAAGATTGTTGCAGATCGAAATGTTGAAGTGTTTGAATATTGACGTATTAGAATATTAATATATTGAACGATTACTTTGTTGAAATATTGCAGTATGCAGCTATTGAAAACATTGAAATATTGAAATATTCATCGTCAGCAGATTTCAGCATTAATCTAGGAAGATATTGAAACGTTAAATTATTTAAATATTGAAAGACTAATCTACAAAAATATTAAAATATTATTCAATTTAATTATTGCATTGTTAAACTGCTGAAC